CTTGGTCAAGCTTAATTTGAATTTGTTGTTCAAGGCGGCAATCTCCGGCGTTAACCTATGCCGCCATCTTCGGTCATCTCTCTCAGGCCTGTGCTCCAATCTTACACCTTCAAGAGGGTTCTACTTTTTCACAGGGAGGTTTACAGGTGGTTTGATGGGGAAAATCCTACGTTGGTCTGTCCCACACATTATAGGATCCCTACCCCCAGGCCCTACATGACAATAGCCCTTTTAGACTTTTCTAAACACCAACTAGAAATATGTGTGCGTGTGTGTGTGTGTGTGTGTGTGCGTGCATTTGTGTAAAAGGCATGTAATAGCATCTCCAGAATGGGTGGTACTGCTGGAGGGTTCAGATGATAGTTCCAGTCAAACGGGGGGATGGGCAAGGGGCCATGCATTATTGACACCTGAAATTGTTCACATATAAATCCAGTGCTTCTCAAACTTTCCAGAATCTAAAAATCACCTGGGCCACATATGTTAAAATGCAAATTCCTAGATCTTGTCCATTTTCGGACAGCCAAACAATATAAAATTTAATATAATGCAGCAATTATTCTTTAGGAGGAATATCCAAAAGAATTGAAGGCAGAATCTTGAAAACCTATGTGTACATTCATATTCACAGCAGCATTATTCACAAAAGCCAAAAGCTGGAAGCAACACAACCCAAGTGCCCACTGACAAATGAATGGACAAATAAAATATTGCATATACATACACAAAGCAAAGAAACTCTGACACGCTACAACATGGATGAAACTTGAAGACATTATGCTAAGTGAAATGTGCCAATTGTAAAACGAGAAATACTGTATTAATCCACCTATAAGAGATACAAGAATAGTCAAATTAATAGACACAGAGTGAAAAAGTAATTACCAGTGCAGGGGGGAGAAACATGAAGAGTTGTTGTTTAATGGATGCAGTTCCAGTTTTGCAACATGAAGGAGTTCTATGGATGAATGGTGGTGATGATTGTACTATATTATGAATGTTTTAATACTATTGGATTTTATACTTAAAAATAGTTAAGATAATAAATTTATGCTATATGTATTTTACCATCACCAAAACTGTTTTTTGGTTAATCCTCACCTGAGGATATTTTTCCCATTGCTTTTTAGAGAGAGTGGAAGGGAGGGGAGGAGGGCAAGAGAGAGAGACAAACATTGATGTGAGAGAGACACATCAATTGGTTGCCTCCTGCAACCGCCCCAAGTGGGGCCAGGGGTGAACCTACAACCCAGGTACATGCCCTTGACCGGAAATAAAATTCTTGACCTTTGGGTATGCTCTAACCACTGAGCAACATCATTCAGGGCCATTAAACCTTTTTTAAAATTAAATATTGAATTGGCCTGATAGTAAAAAAAAGTATCAAGTAACAACCAATCCAATGTAAAGATAGAAAGATAAAACAATAGGTACTTCAATCACAAATATGAGAGGGAGTAAAAATACTTTAAAACAGAGTAATTCAAATTCAATACCTCTGCATGGTGTGCCACATACTGCCTTATGCTCCAGCGTGAGACAGACAAGGAAGCATTAACATGGGGTAATAGAAACCATGGTGAATCAGCGCAATGAAGATTATGAAATCTTTAAAAGTATACTTCAAGACTATGTAACATCATGAAGGAATGTTGCTAATAGAGTGTTTTGAGAAACCAGAAAAATACAAAATTGCAAGGTAAAATTGAAGTGTAAAAAATTGTATGTGGCCCGGCCAGCATGGTTCAGTGGTTGAGCATCAACTTATGAGCCAGGAGGTCATGGTTTGATTCCCAATCAGGGCATATGCTTGGCTTGTGGCCTCAATCCCCAACAGGGGATGTGCAGGAGGCAGGCGATCAATGATTCCCTCTTATTCTCTCTCTCTCTCTCTCTCTCTCTCTCTCTCTCTCTCTCTCTCGCTCTCTCTCTCTCCCTCTGCCCCCCTTCCTCTATGAAATCAATACAAATATATATTTTTTTAAATAAAGAAAAAGTATAGATGCATATAGGCAAGGACTAGAAGGGAAAAGGCAAAAATAAAAGTAGTTCATTTGTCAGGGCAGATTTCTTTTTTCTGCTTTAAAATATGTCTTTTAAATTGCCTGGATACTATTTATACAACAAACAAGGAGATAATAAATTTGAGTGGACTAAAACAGTTTCCAAAGGGTTCCCTCTCAGAAAAGGAATTGCTCCAAAAGGTACAGATCATAATTTCTGACAGAAGAAATTAGTTTGTTTTCGGTCTCAGCTACAATGAACAAAGGGAAACTGTTGATGAGAAAAGACAACGAAGGTTGCATTAGGTTTGCCTGGTCACCCCACCCCATGCTCTCCTGTTTTGATTGCTCTAGTTCCTTCCCCAGGTGACACTTAGTCCTGGAGATCTGTGTGTTCGTGTTTCCCTAAAAAGCTGGGGCTGCTGGGGGCAGCCTATTTCTGTCACTTTTGCGATGCCTAGCACAGTGTTGGGTTACCACTCGTTTCTGGCCAGATAAATGCTAATTAAATACAGCCTGCTGAGACCGACTGCGACTACCTGCCATTACTTTGTGCTAACTACTGTATGAAATCATGCTGGTGTGTGAGCTACATCACAGACACATGCACCAGAAAGCAAGCCCACAAGAGTTCACGAGCATTGCACACGTCAGCAAGGGCCACGCTCCAGAGTTTCGTGTCTGGCCTGTGTCATTCTGCTGATCAGCAGCATAAACTGGAGGGACCGCAGAACCCCTCTGTAGTGTGGCTTGATGCTGATGACGTGGTTCGCTGTGTAATGGCTCATCATGGCCCTGGAAGCTGAACATGTCCAGACAAGAGAAGCCTGGGGGTGCTGCCAGCTCTGGGCTCCAGCGTCGTGCTACAAAGGAGGGCACCCCGGCTCCTCCTTTTCAATCAAGTCCTCTTTTCCCGTCTAGTCATCAGCTTCAGTAGATGGGGCACTTAGATGGGAAGCTTTCTGTCCCTTTCTTTGTGGTAGGGAACACACAATACATACAGCATCAGCAAATTTCAAAAGATGGAATCCTCAAGATTTTCCCGTGTTCCCCAGCAGCGGCTGGAGAAATAGCCCTGCAGTTCCAAACACGCAGACAACGATAAAGATCCAAAGAAACACTCTGTCCACCACCATGCCCACATATTTCCAGTCATCAAACACCTGAAAGCCAAACAAAACAGAACAGAACAAAAATCAAATCAACTTTTAAAAATCAAAACCATAGGAAATGTGCTCCGTTTCACAAAGAAGCTTCTTCCTTTTCAAAGAAAATGCTCCTGGCAAATTCTAAGGCACATATTGGTATTATTTTGGTTAACTCTACAGAGCACGCAGAAGAGCTTTTGTTTTGCCTGAAGAGGGTGGATCCTCACACCCTGTTAGTGCTGGGGGCAGCTGGCTACAGAGCAGGCAGATCTCCGTAAGCCAGGATTCCGTGGGCCCAAGGACCCTTCCGGACTGCAAGGAGCACTCCCAAGAAGTAGCTGCTCAGAAAGTGCGGTTCTCATCATTGGCATTAGTGGATACCTGTCCCCTTGGCAAGTTTTGGGAAACGGGTTTGAGGCAGGGAGGGTAGGACCTGCAGCATGAAGGAGGACCCCCTTATCAGGAGCAGGCAGCCCTCTAGACCTCCAGATCATCCTGGTGATGGAGAGTTCATTGCCTTTCTCACAGCCTTCCACTTGTTGACCTCCTAACTCAGTGATGGCGAACCTTTTGAGCTCGGCATGTCAGCTTTTTGAAAAACCCTAACTTAACTCTGGTGCCGTGTCACATATAGAAATTTTTTGATATTTGCAACCATAGTAAAACAAAGACTTATATTTTTGAAATTTATTTCATATATTAAAATGCCATTTAACAAAGAAAATCAACCAAAAAAATGAGTTCTGACACGCGTGTCATAGGTTCGCCATCACTGTCCTAACTTCTGCCAAAATCTCCGTTTGTGTCTTGAGAGCCCTCCCTGGTGGTGATTAAGTCAACAGCAACTCTCCCCTAGATTTTACAAAGGTGTCACCATGGAGGGGAGTTCTGGGCTCACTTGTCCTGTGGTGCACCCCACCCCCAGGGGTGTCACCTGAGTGACACGCAGTCACAGTATCGTCCCCTGCACCCCCAGGGCAGACTTTAGATCTTGAGCTTTCCTTTCGCTAGGAGATACGATGCTGGTAATTGCAATATGAGGTCAAAATCAGGCACTCAGCATGAGTTTTCAGATGCCCTCAACTAGTCACCCTTATGGTATGGAAAGTGGGTGTGATTTTCTTGATCTCTTTCTTTGGAGGATGGAGGATGCCCATGGTACTATAGTTAGACGCTAGGCACCGGGAGCAGAATACATTGATGCTAAAAATATCACTGAGGCTCATTCAATCAGCACCTAAATCCTTCTGAAGTAGAATAAGCAGGATTGAGCTGTGGCGGATTCACCCCCACTTTCCTCCCACCGCCCTCAGATTGCAAGCTGCTCTATAGTCATTTCTCTTTCCCCTCCGTGGGCAGCGTTCCCCTCTCCACCTCTTGTCTGACACTTTCTTGTGCAAGAGCTTCATTAGTTTCATTAACCAAGGTGGCCCTGAAAGTTTATTTTAACCAGATTTCACTTGAGTTAACATTGCTGGAGGTGGAGATTTGCTCTGGGGCTGCCTGACCCCAGGTAAGTCCACCCATAACTGTGTAATAACAGAACTGGGTCTTAGAGTAATGCTGCCTGACCCTCTGGTAAACAGAGCTAACTCTGAAGATCTGACCGTGTCGATAAAGTGTCCCTAGGCCTGCTGCAGGTGGACAGGCTAGAGGAGACATGCATTTACCTCCTTTGTTTCATTTTGGCTCTTCATGTTTTCTGCTATGAAATGAACACTGTTAATCACATCTTCGACTTCAGGTGAGTGTTCCGTATTTCCTGTCATCCACTGTAAAGGCTGGTGACTTAATCTTCTCTTGCAGGTGGCAAGCTGATGTGATTTATGGCAGTGGCAGCATTCTTTCAGAAGTTTGGGTTCTCTGCGATTATCAAACTTGACTTTGGTAGGCCTACCGGAAATGCTTCTGGGGTTTTTATCAGAACTTGTCTTCCTCGTCTTATCCAGAGGTCTCTTCATCATCAGGATCTGGGGCAACAGCTGGAGGAAAACCATCTTCACCCAGTTGGGCATGGTGTGTGTTGTTGGAGTGCGATAGTGTATGTTCAACACAAATACAGTCACTGCGATGGACAGGGTGACAAAGATCATGGTGAATAGGAGGTATTCACCCACCAGTGGGATCACAAGAGATGTAGATGGGATGGTTTCTGTGATTACCAGCAAAAACACAGTCAGAGAGAGCAGAACTGAAATGCAAAGTGTCACTTTTTCACCACAGTCAGAAGGAAGGTAAAAGACCAACACAGTTAGAAATGAAATAAAGAGACAGGGGATGATCAGGTTAATGGTGTAAAACATTGGCAATCTTCTAATGTAAAAAGAATAGGTTATATCTGTGTATATCTCTTCACAACAGTTGTATTTTATGTCATGCTTATAGCCAGAAGCATCAACAATTTCCCATTCACTGTTTTCCCAAAAATCATTCATATCCACTTTAGATCCAATGATCAGAAGATCAATTTCAGCTTTGTCATATGTCCAGGAACCAAATTTCAGGGAACAATTTTGATGATCAAAAGGAAAAAAAGTGATATCCATAGGACAGGAACTCTTAAAAATAGCTGGTGGAGTCCAGGTGATCATGCCATCGTATTTAAGAAGAGCTTTTGTCTTGCCTTTGACTTGGAAGTCACCAACAGCACTGCAAGATAAATCAGACCATTAGTAATATCCCCTTTGTTATGTATGGGTCAGCATGTACCAAAGGCAACGTTAGAGACTACTGCTGTCGACTCCCGTACTTGTTATAGAGAACAATGTCAGGCTTCCAGATCTTATCTGCAGGAACACGAATAGTCTCAATGCCATCAAACTCCACTGGGTCCCAGCGCAATTTGTAATCATTCCAGATCTAAAGGAAATAGAAGTCAGCTTTTAAAAAATATTTTCTTAACAAATTTCTTCCAATGTTAATTCTATGTTTGTTCAGCAGTACTTTTGAAAAATTAAGTTCTAAACTGAAGAGTACATTGGGTTCTATCAAAAATTGGGAGATTAAATCAACGAAATAGGGGGATAAGTAGCTGAGCTAATTTTGGAAAATATAAATTATCTAATAAGTAGTGATTATTAATTAGCTGGCCATGGTTCTAGGCTCAACTTCCATGTCCCATGTACTATATTCACACTGGAGTACAACTCATTTCTGAGAATGGAAAGGTTGTTCAAGTGTGCGATGATGAGTTTGTTACAAACTCTGAGTAAAAGATTAATACAAGGGAAAAAGCAAAATGGTATAACCTAAAACCAGCTGGTGGGACCCTAACCCACATGCTGTCATGCTCAGCTACTGACTTCTCCAGGATTAGTTGAGCAGGATCAAAGAGAGGGCAGACACCTGACTCGGGAGCTCAAACTACAGATGAAAACAGAAGATTTGCGAGCAGAAACGAGAAAGGACAGAGCTTCTGTCTCAGAGAACCTTGTCACTAGGTTCCTGCACCTGTGGAGCTTGCATCAAGCCAGCTATGCACAGAGCTGAACTTCAGGCTTTGGGGAAAGGTGATATTGTATGCTCTCTCACAAGGTGGAGATGGAAAGAGGGGATGCTACTGGATTTCTATCCATCGGGCATTGTTAGGCTGACCCATGAGTAACACAGATCCAAGAGGACATGTGATGTAGACACATACATGACGTAGCCACAGGTTGGTTTCCATGATCTGGTTTACTTCATCCTGGAAAAAAGAAACAATATTTTTAGCCTCAAATGTATTGTTAATAGAGGTGGATCTTAGAACAAGAATTACTACTAAAAAGAGCCAAATCTGAGTTATTCATGTTAATACAGGGAAACAAAGAAGATTGAAAAGTCAACTTGTCAAAAGCAGCCAGAAATATGATATTCCACATCTGACCTCAACCCTGTTGACTTTGAAAGAAAATGTGGCTGAAAGACTGTCTTTCAAATGTGATTTAAGACTCACCACTTCTGAGAAGCCTTTCTGATTACCATAGCCTATAAAGGTTTCTGAGCCCATGAAAGGAAAGAAGGGAGAGCAGGAGAGTGGGAAGGAGGGAGGAAAAATACCACAGAAGGTGATAGGTATCTGAACCTGGTTCATTGTTTTGATGGTCTTCTCAATTTCCTGAAAAACCTCCCTTCCTCAACACTCTACAGCAAGCATGTCAAACTCGAAGACTAACACAGACCAAATAAGGGAGTCATGCAGCCCGCGGGCCGGGAGTTTGACATGCTTGCACAGGCTCTGAGTCCTGAGCCCAATTGCCCTTTGAAATGTCAGCCTCAGCTCAGCATGGAGTTTTCCAGCAGCAACCTGCCACTCCTTCACAGCACATCACCCAAGCCCTGCGAACTGCAGGGGAGTGGGGGGGCAGGGGGGGAGGGGACATACTCATACACCAAAAGGTCATCCACCCAGTAAACCTGTGGCCAAGTCATTCTGTAGAACAGCAAATACACTCTATGTAGAAATCTCTAAGGCCAACCTGGCAGTTCAGACAGTAACAGAGGGTGTAGAACCTTCTAGAAGAGAGTTGGTGACTGTGCATCCTGGCTGTACTGCATCACTGAGCTATCTCCAGAGCTCACCATGGCTCAGTGACAACAATGAATGTGGTCCACAGGGACTTCTGGTGCCTCACATAGGAACAGATAGCCTTCAACACACCAAGAAGAATGGTTATATTGTCCAGCCGGCGTGGCTCAGTGGTTGAGTGTCAACCTATGAACCGGAGGCCACCAGTTCAATGTTCAATTCCCAGTCAGGGCACATTCCCTGGTTGCGGGCTCAATCGCCAGTGGGGAGTGTGCAGGAAGCAGTGGATCAATGATTCTCTCTCATCATTGATGTTTCTTTCTTTCTCCCTCTCCTTTCCCCTCTGAAATCAATAAAAATATATTTTCTAAAAAGAACAGTTATTCTATGTAGAAATCTCTAAGGCCAACCTGGCAGCTCAGACAGTAACAGAGGGTGTAGAACCTTCTAGAAGAGAGTTGGTGACTGTGCATCCTGGCTGTACTGCATCACTGAGCTATCTCCAGAGCTCACCATGGCTCAGTGACAACAATGAATGTGGTCCACAGGGACTTCTGGTGCCTCACATAGGAACAGATAGCCTTCAACACACCAAGAAGAATGGTTATATTGTCCAGCCGGCGTGGCTCAGTGGTTGAGTGTCAACCTATGAACCGGAGGTCACCAGTTCAATGTTCAATTCCCAGTCAGGGCACATTCCCTGGTTGCGGGCTCAATCGCCAGTGGGGAGTGTGCAGGAAGCAGTGGATCAATGATTCTCTCTCATCATTGATGTTTCTTTCTTTCTCCCTCTCCTTTCCCCTCTGAAATCAATAAAAATATATTTTCTAAAAAGAACAGTTATATTAATATCTGGCAAAGTCTTACTTCTGAAGAGGAAAAACAATTACTAAAGACAAAGAGGGACATTAGCATAATGGTAAAGGATTAGTCCACCAGGATGTTAGAATGATTGGCTCAGTGGTTGAGTGTCAACCTATGAACCGGAGGTCACCAGTTCAATGTTCAATTCCCAGTCAGGGCACATTTCCTGGTTGCGGGCTCAATCACCAGTGGCGAGTGTGCAGGAAGCAGTGGATCAAAGATTCTCTCTCATCATTGATGTTTCTTTCTCTCTCCCTCTCCTTTCCTCTCTGAAATCAATAAAAATATATTTTTTAAAAAGAACAGTTAAATTAATATCTGGCAAAGTCTTACTTCTGAAGAGGAAAAATAATTACTAAAGACAAAGAGGGACATTAACATAATGGTAAAGGATTAGTCCACCAGGGTGTTAGAATGACGCAGTGTGCTTTCTGACCATATGGAATCAAACTGGGAATCTATAACAATTGCTTCTTGGCCATTTGGCTAAGATCAAGCATAGAAATCAATAACAAAAAGATATGGGAAAACCTCTAAATCTATGAATATTAAATAAGTCACTTCTACATAATCAGTAATCAAAGAGAATGTTTCAAAGAAAAATTTTTTAAAATAGATGTAAGTGAAAACATATCAAAATATGAGGGAAGTAACTAAAAACAATGCAGAGAAGACAATTTATAGCATTAAATTCTTACATAAGAAATGAAAAATGGTCTCAAATCAATAACCCAAAGTTTCTATTTCAATAAATTAGAAAAAGAAGCAGAACATAAACCTAAAGCAAGCATAAGGAAGAAAAAAATAAATGTAAGAGCAGAAATGAAATTGAAATGGAAAACAATAAAGAAAATTAATAAAACACGCTAATTGTGGGGACAGCAAAATAGATAAACCTCTAGCAAGGTTGACAAAAATAAAAGGAGAGAAGACACAAATCACCAATATCAGAAATAAAATAGCTATCACTACAGATCCTGGAACCATAAAAAGAATAGAGAAAACAGTACTAAGAATAACTTTATCATACATTCAACAGCTTAAAAAAGAGACCAATTCTTCAAAAGCTACAAACTATCTAAATTCAAAGATGAAGATGATCGTCTGAATAACCTATATCTATTTAAAAGTGAATGGCTCATTTAAAACCTCCCAGATGCCCTGACCGGTTTGGCTCAGCGGATAGAGCATCGGCCTGCGGACTCAAGGGCCCCAGATTCGATTCCAGTCAAGGGCATGTACCTGGGTTGTGGGCACATCCGAATACACAAATCACCAATATCAGGAATAAAATAGCTATCACTACAGATCCGGGAGCCATTAAAAAGAATAGAGAATACAGTACTAAGAATAACTTTATCATACATTCAACAGCTTAAAAAAAAAAGGACCAATTCTTCAAAAGCCACAAACTATCTAAATTCAAAGATGAAGTTGATCGTCGAATAACCTATATCTATTTAAAAATGAATGGCTCATTAAAACCTCCCAGAAAAGAAATGTCCAGTTCCAGTAGGATTTCCTGGAGAATTCTACCAATACGTAAGGTAGAATTAATACCTTGGACCATGAGGCAACACTGAGGGAAGAAACCACAGGCTAAGGACGGTGAAATAGGAAGAGAGAATGAACCTTGGCCAATTGTTCCATGCATGGTTCATGTTTTTAGCATCACAGTCCATGTGATTGAC